GGAGTCCGAGCATCCCCATCCTCGTCTTCGACCACAAAGACAGCAAGCGACGCTCAGTGTGGCGCAAGGGAAAGTCTCGGAAAACCTCGAGGCAGCAACACGTAGGTTGGTCTCCGTTGCACATTATGATGCTGGGCTGAGCGCGATAGCCATCAAATGGTCCCAGGTGCAAAAGCATGTTACACAAAAGCCCAGTATCAGCCACACTTCAACGAATCTCGAGGCAGGGCATTGATGTATTGCAGTTGAAAGATGTCGCCCAGTGACTGAGATGCCAACTGTTTTGGGAAGGCCACTACCCCGTTGCCGAAGGCCGAGCAGACGGAAGGTCCTCTTCACAAACGCGCGGTCTTGGGCAATCTCACGTGCTCAAAGCCTGGCTGTGCAGCAAACGTTACCTTACAGCTCTACGACCCTGAGACGGAGCGGGAAGGGACGAGTCAGCTTTCAGAGTGCCTTCAAAACCTCACAAGCACCGTAGCATTTCGTATCAGTGCCTCGCAACGCATTCGCCTCAATGTGCTGGTTTCTTCAGGGGTGCCGAGTTTTGCTGGTCGCATCAAGGGCTTGGTCTGGTATGCGGTTTTCGCAGTCGAAGTCTGTCCAGTCTGTCTCTTGGTTGCAGGAATACGCGCGGGATTGCAATCTAACCTTGGCGGTTCATGCTACAGACTTTGATGACAACTTTGCTGGGGAGCGGGTGGCCAACTTTTTGGCCAACGGTCGCGCAATGGGTGGGGATTGCTACCCGTTGGTGAACGGATGCGTGTCAAAAGCATCCCGTGCGCTTCTTTTTACATGCATCTCCGACCTGCCGGTGGACACTGTGATCAGTAGCCAGGGAAAACTTCGAGTGGACGCAGAGATTCCTGGAAATGTAGATGAATGTCCGTACCACGGTAACCTGCTGCATGGTGTTACCACCATACACTGTCATGTCGGCAAGCTCGTGGACCTCACTACAACATCTACCACCACCACTACCACCACAGTTGCATCGGAGAATTCGGGGGTGGCTGGTGCGTCTGGCAGACAGGGACAGGCTTCACCTGAAGACTTGGACTTCGTAAAGAAATGGCTAGCAGAGCATCCTGGCAAGTCTTTCGAAGATATGCCGGGCTACAGCTCCTTCTACAACTTGAGCAATATGTCATCACAGGCCGCCACTGCCAGGCCTGCCAGCCTTGGTATTTCGGGCTACTACGGATCCTCTGCAAGACATTTGGAAGCACAGCTGGGCAGCGGCCCAGGTCGTGGCCAAGCCCGGCCAAGATTCCCTTTCCACCGGCCGACCAACCTCGCGACTCAGGGAGCGCTGCGTTGTGCAGAGAAGGGCTGTTCCACCTCGCTCATATTGAGCTTCAACCGGACATTGGCGCAAATCAACAGGCCACCGGGCGCTAATGAAACAGAAGCTGGACATATTATCTGCTTCGCAGACCTTGTCCAGGTGTGTGGCGCAGCTTTGGGTCAATCAGACGGACTTCGACAACTTGGACGGCGCCCAGGAGGTCCTAAGTGTCAGTGTCGCTGGCAAAGAGGCCAGCGATGGGGTTCTCAAGACAGCTACGGAGAACTTGCATTGCATGCACGCTTCAGCTGTGAGGTGCTGTCGCACGCGAAGCTTGGAAAGAACCCATGTCGAAGCGCATACAGTGGAAAGTCCCTTTCACTCAAGGACGCCTGTCACCAAGACTGTTCTTGCTTGTACTTCACAGTCTGGCGGCCGGGGCGTCGTTGCGGACTTGTTTTCAGGACATTCGCTACCATGCCCTTGAGGATTTGGACATCACGCAGGCTTTAGCGTCAGGGTCAGGTTGCGATAGCATGCTAGATGTCGTGATCTTCGTGGGCAGCCTGTGGCTGGCCAGGCTATCAGGGATGGGCCTGTCAAAATCTCGGCACAGATCTCCGACCAAGTGGACGAATGTCCGAGTAACGGCTACTTGTTGGACTCTGCTCTGGAGGCGTGGCACGGCCGCCGTGCACCAGTCAGCCTCACTTCGAGCCTGCCATATCCTGTAAGGTGAGCTGCAACATCTCCACGATTGGGGCACTGCTAGAAGAGGATGAGGTGTCTGTTGCGGATGTCCTGGATTTGAACAAGGCCTAGATTCCACAAGTTAGGGACAAGATTGGCATGCTCACAACAGGAACAGACTCCAAACCGGAAAGCAGACGTTGCAACTGGTAGACTGATGAGACCTTTGCGCTCATGCGGTGCACGACGTACTGTATATACTGTACCCAATTTCAGGCACCTGCGGATGTGGACCCCGTTAACACAGAGTAGCGCATGTATATGTTCCGTGCTATCAAAAGGAGCACTCCCACGCGTGCGCAGGCCCTGCTCCCCCACTCTTCTCCTACAAACGCGCACACACAATCTCGCACACACGCACGCGCACGCCCACGCGCACCTACATCCACGCCCACACGCCCGCACCCACACCTCCACACCCACGCACTTGTGCAGATCTCCAGTCCGAGTAAGGGTCTGAGTCTTTGTACCTGACATCACCTCTGACAGAGGAATACTCATACTCATCATGCTGACACTGACGGTCTCTCATGCATTCAGCTTGTACAAACAGCTACACATCGGCGGCCAACCGATGCTTCCCCCATCATGCCATAGCTTCGCTGACACACAGACAAACACACATACAGAAAGACACACACACACACACAGCCAGGCTCCATCGCGCAGCCCCTGCCCTGTTTGTTCTGAAGCTCAGCTTGAGCATGAAGTTTTGGGGGCTCCGACACCAATCAGGGTTCAAGGCTTGTCGATTCGGGAAATTTGTTGGCACAGACCTTTAAGCATGCAAGCAGACATGGTGCATATGTGGTCACAAGCTGCACTCTCGTGCCCATGTCGACCACTGCAGGTACGTTTAAATGTCTGAAATCACAGAGCTTCGTTGGCATAGGCTGTGTGAAGTCAGACCTTCTGCCCACGGCAAACCCAACAGTTGTATTCTGGAAGCTGCGCTGCGAAATCCGTGGCCAAAATCAATCGCTTGTCTACGTATCGTTGGATAATTTCCTGCGAACCTGCGACTGTCCATTTCCAGTGAATCTCCACGGCAGCCACGCAAACGGTGGAAGGTATATTGGACTTATCTGAATTCCTATTGCCGTCCCTCATGTTTGTTGCTATGCCAGGCCCATCGCTTCGAATACTCTCAACTGCAACGACAACAACACAAGACGTTCAACGTCCTCTAGGTAAACAGTCATATAATTAGCTTTGCAGCTTGCCAAAGAAGAACCTGCACGCGCTGCATAACGCTGGAAGTGACTGTGAGGGTTCACCATCGTGCCTGTGCTGTCGTGTTCGCACGGTATTCGTCCAAAAGCCGTTGCAACCTCCGTTTGCGGAAGGGAGTTGAAGAAGCCAATCCACAGTTGCGGAGTGGTTCCCGTACCCAGTTGTCCTGGCTAAGCAGAAGATATGATGTTTGATAATGGCCATCGATGTAAGAAGTCGATCAAGAAGGATCGCAGCGGATGCAGTCAAATAAACCGATCAAGGAAAACATGACCAAGGCAGAAAGCTATTGATCTGAAGAACGGGTTCAAGTTTCTACAGACAAATTTGAATATCGTGCAGTGAAGCTGCTACACCTGCCCCTTTGACAGAATGTCGGTCGGGAACACACTTGGAAACTCCGTGTTCAGGAGTAGCTAAAGTTTTGGTTGCGAAATTATGTTTGATTCTTGGCTTGGCCCATCGCCATACGATGCAGGTATGTTTACACGGGCTGCCTCGGAGGGGTCTTCGTTGACCACCACCCCGAGGGTTTTGGTGGTCCCCTGCTTCAGAATATCTATCCCTTCGCCATCAGGGCTTGACACACACACACAAAAAAAAAAACGCACACGATCAAACATGCACACGAGTCTCCGTCTTTCCGAAACCAGCATGCAAGACAGATGTGTTCGGCAAAACCCACGAGCTTTTGCGAAGCACGTAAGCAGATCAGGCAAGTCTATGGCCCGGGCTGATATAGCAGGAATTCGCAAGTCGCTGCTTGATACTGTAAAGCTTCCTTTCTCTGATGCGCCCGGCGATTTTTGACGGCACTGCTTGACCCACCCCCAACCCTCCCGCCTTCATGACGTTACATGGATGCAGAGGAGCTGCTGGAATCAACGGACGATGCAGAGAGGGACAAGGCCTTCAAGAATTTCCTGGATGTGGCCGCATCGACCCAATCCACTGGCGACCACAGTGACTGAGAGCGACTAGAAATGACTAGAAGATGTGCAAGATGTGGCGTGCACTTTGTGCTATGGCGAGGATTTCTTGTTGAACGGGTTTCTTGTTTCAGCTGTGGACGCGAGTGAAAAATGGCCTGTGGTTTGCCAACGCAGCCCTTCCTCAGCCGTTGGTGAGCATCGCTGCATCAGAGACAAGCAAACAAAGAAATGAAGTTCACAGAAACTGCGGAGGAGCTTCGAGATGCAGCTGCGGCAGTGGATGAGCATGGAATCATCTTGCCAATGAAGCCGAAGTACTGCATGTGTTCGGGCCTTAATCTGTTGATTCTGGTTTCGTGATTCCGATGCAGAAATTGCGACAGTACCCCCTTGGACTCTACGGCTCTCTCTCTCACTCGGGGGATTGGGCTGGGGTTGCACGCTGCACCACTCGCAGTGTCTAGCAAGGTGTTGTCCTGATATGACTTGACCTGCCAAGGCTGGTTCATGGAGTTGGACGACAGCCGAATGAGCCGCTGGTGCCTAGACACTGCACGCCAACATGCATCGGGATCACGCGAACTCCGCGACGGAGAGATTCTGGAGACCCTCGAGGCCGAGCTTGCGGAGCCGACATGGACATGCGAGTTGCGAGGCCATCAGTTTCGAGACACGTGATGCCGTGATGCCTTGCAGGCCTGGCTGCCGCAGTCTGCCAGAGAAAAATGTCGAAAGTGCGCACTGCGCGGCTCATGTTCTTGCATGTCCGAGGGTGCGGGCCCATTGCGACTGAGGCTAGATTCCTTGCCAAGCTCCACCGTCGGCGCTTTGAGGCGGCAAGGGCAGCTCACCCCTGGGAGACAGGCGTGCAGCTTGTCAGCGGCTCAGCGCAGTTAAGCTGCCGTTCCGCTGATTTCCACTCCATGACTCGGTATGACTCGGGGACTCACCAGAATTCACCGAGGTAGATGTGCTGACTACCAGCGACGGACTGGCCTTCGGGGTCGGCGTCTACAGCGGTGCTGTAGAGGAGCTCCGAGTGTCCCTATCCATATGTGTCCATAGTCCATGTTATAAGGGGTAATCTGAATTCTGAGTTGTTGAAAACTGTTGCACATGTCTGCGAGTTTTTGCGCAGGTTTTGGCGCTCTCGGCGTGCAGCAAGGCAGAGACTTGAGAAAGTCTTTCCAGACCGAAAGAATTGGAACCGTGCAGCCGTGCAGGTGGCTGGCCGGCCAGTGAAGAAAGTGCCGCTGCCTTTGGAGGGAAACTCGTGAAGGCCGCCCGGGGAGCGCCGAAAGTTGAGGCTGCCAGCGCTTCGAGCCTTGTACCCCGGACACATCTACGTACACGGCGGCTACGTTGGGAGCTTGATGCAAGTAGATTCCCAGCCTATGTGGCCATGGCTCCAGTCGAGGACGGCCAGCGCCGCCTACTCTCCATCGAGCGCTTGGTCTTGCCCCGAGAACAGCAACACTTCTCACCAACGCATGCTCTAGCAGACTCTAGCACTCTAGCATGCAGTAGCGGCTCAGCAGTGCAGGCACCATTTGGTGATTGCTGGGAGCCACTGCCTCCGATGTCTGATCGACGAGCTGTAGCCTTCGCCTTGGAGAGTTTGCCGATGCAACGGGCACTGCAGCACATCTCAGGTGGCAGCAGACGTAGTTGCCGGGAAGCTGTACGTTTGCGGTGGCTGGGACGGGGAGTGCCTGATCTGCGACAGTCATCGTTGACTGCACCATCGTGATAGATATTGCGACGTCAACCATATTTCCATTGCGCTTTCTCCTCATACTCCTCATTCTTGTAATTATCTCTATTCCTAGTGCGAGTTTCGAAGATCATGCGGGCCCAGCTCTGTGGATTTATGTAGCGTTTTCATTCAGAGAGCCATTCAGGCACCGTCTTAGCCAAGTCGAGCGCCCGACTCCGAGCGGCAATCGCCTGGACGCTCCTACTGTTTCGACTGTCCCGATCGTTCAGGCTACAACATCGCTGCCGGCTGTTGGGAGCAGTTGCCGCCGATGCTCGAGAGGCGCTAAAATTATCTCTCCAGCCTTGAATTTCAGACAACCCGAATTTCCTGACATAAAAGTTTAACTGCATCCTGTGTTGCCGGCGTTCCTCTTTCTTCGCCCGTTTGGCCGGGGGCTGGCATAGCCGCCATCTGTGCTGCGAGGGGTCTTTTGTGCTAGATTTTGTTCCTACATTTGCTTGTATGGGAAGTAGTACTGGGTTTGGGAACTGGTAACTGCAGCCTCCCAAGTTTGAAAGAAGTCTTGACGTGATCCTCAAGAAACGTAAAGTGGAATGCCCCGGGTCTGCCGGGCTTGTCTCGGCAGCTTCAGGTTGTTCAGGTTGTGTTTGTCTTGCAGTGCAGGCTTTCCGGTTTGCCGCCCTGGCTCAGCTTTTGGCGCAGATTCTTGATGAGCTACTGCTTGTACTTTGAAACTTGCGGAATCGCTTATCTGTAATTTAGTAAATTCAGACCGGCTGGTTGGTTACGTAGTCAGTCATAGTCATCATAGAGCCTGCAATAGCAACTCGATGACGAAGATACTCGCAGTTGCTGCTTGTGCATTTCTTGACAGGCGAAGTCATCCTGCAGTGGCTACTCTTTGCGGCAAGCTCTACGTTTCCGGCGGCTTTGACGGCGCGGAGAGGCAAAGCGAAGCATTTGTTGAAATGTATCGGAACCTTTCGATTCTATGAGTTTCTGTCAACTGAGCAGTGCGTGAAAGTGCCGCCTGTGATAGTTTGAGCTCGGTCGAGTGCTTCGACCCTTCTACGGCTAGCTGGTGTTGTCCGGTGGCCCAGTCGCTGCGCAAGGGCTCCGCACCGCTTCTATTTCCTGTGCCAATCTTTTTGCGCTGAGCCGTGTCTATGCATTGGCGATGGTCGCTGTAGCGGAGGACGCCACGTGTGCTCACATAGGCTTCCGGCAACGGTTCAACGATCACAGGAGCCATCCCCCCAAATCGCCAGCAGAGAGTTCGTAAGCTCGCCAGACGGGACGGAGAAATGGCATGAATGGCCTCCCAACACCTAGGACCTAGAGCACGTACAGCTAGGGCACTTAAGACTGCAGCTGGAAGCTGGCCGAAGGAAGGGCCTCGAAGACTGCCTGTGCCCATTGACCCTGCCAAGGCCTTCCGCAAATGCAGGTGCGTCGAAGACGCGCGATTGCAGCAGCTGAGCTTCAAAAGCAAGGCGTACTCAGGAGTTCTTCTTCCGACTCGCACTCAGGTCGTCATGGCAGCGAAGCTCTACATCTGTGGTGGCTTCGATGGTGCCGTGAGCGGAAATTGCAGAAAGCGTCACGTTGGTGATCCTGACGGTCAGAGGCATTTACAAATATTCCGAAGCGCCGTCCAGGTGCGGGGCAGCTGAACTTTGCGGAGAGCTATGACCCGCAGGCAAGTTTGCCTCCGCATCCTGCAGCATGAGCTTGTGATAGACTGGGCGATGCTTGTCAGCTGTCAGGTTGGTTTGCTCAGTGTTCGAAGAAATTTGCTCGTAACTTCCGCAGCAGCTCGATGCTTCAGCAGCGTATTCGTGATGCGACTTATCCCTAGATTTTAGATAAGCGATGGATGCGTTGGGGGAGCGGCTTGCCACAGAAGACATGTTCTATATCGCAAACATGTACACCTTAACAGTTGTGCAACAGTTTTCCAGATATTGGCAAACCTGCACGACTTGGGAACAGTATGCATCCGCTAAACTGGCGGTTGCTTTGGGTATCGCTACGGAGAATTCCTCAACTCTTCATCTTGCATGGGCGTTGCATCAACTTGGCTGCAAACAGCTTTTCGGGAAAGCTGCGACTGCAGAGATCTGCAGAGTATATCAGCATGAACATGAACGCACATGCACCACGAGATGCCGTCGTACCGCAAGAAGTCAAAGGCCAGCATGTTGAAGCTTGTCGCAGGTAAAGAGATGGGACATGCTCCCGCCGATGCTTGCAAGACGTGTTGTGAGCCGTGGCCTGAAAGCCGACTCGAAGAGTGAAGACCGCTGCGGAGCAGAGGTTGCCTCGATTTCCAGCGGAAGTACTTGCAATCGTGCAATGAGCATTGACTCTCGCAAGTGAAAGGTGCTGCAGAAGTTATTTCCGGCAAGTTGTACGTTTTTGGCAGCGAGGCCTTGCAAGTTAAGCATGTCAAGCTGCACTCCGAGTGTAGAGGGCTTGCGCGATGTCCAGGATGATGCCCGAGTTGTCAGCTCTGTCGAGTGCCAGGACCTTTCAAACAAGGAGCCATGCTCCGAGCATGTAATGAACGCAACATGTGGAACAAAATCCGAGGCTACGATCCAAAGTGCTCGCTCTGGGAGGCGGGCGCAGCATCATGCAGCCTCGTGCCCCGTGGCAGTTCGTAAAGAGGCGCTGCCACCGATGCTCTCTCGTCGAGTTGGGGCTGCTGTCGCTTTGACAGACTAAGGAATGAGACATACTTAAGCAGGTAGTCGTAGCTCACCCAGAGCCCTCGCAGATTCCGAGGCTGCTTCCGTTGCGGGCTGCTTCTACGTCTGCGGGGGATGGGATGGACGTCAGATGGCGCCTCAGAAGACGTCAGAGAGGCGGGTCGGCTTAAGACTGCACCCAGGCGTCTCGACTCAGCTGAGCGATATAATCCTGCCTCGGCCGTGCCAGCCTCAAGATGGGAATTAGCCCTGCGTACTGCATGCTTGAATTCTATGGTTCTTGCTGCGATGGGCGCCCCCCTCCTTGCCCATGACCTTGCGACCCTGGGTGCCAGCGTACAGAAGTATACCAAAATGCAGTCGCAGCGCCGTTTGTGTCACGGAAGATCCTTGCCCAGGTAGGTAATGCAAAGTCTAGTACAGCGACGGCGCTTGTTCCGAAACAGCTATGTTTTGCATTCGTGGGTCGCAGATGTCAAGCCCCTCAATTCCTTAATTTGGAGTGGGCACATGGAAGGCTTTGCAAGATTTAGGAAGTGAAGCCGGCAAGGTATTCTGTGAGAGTTTTCGGTGAGGCCCGCCCATGTGCCCTGACCGGGAACCCCCTGATTTTGCTAAGTCAAGCTCCCGTGGGTGCCTTCGAGGCCACGGCCCTGAAATAAGATATAATCTATTAAGATATCCGTCGCCTCAATTTCCATGTTTCAGAAGTTGAGTCAGCTTCATAATTTGGGTGGCATTTCGGCGCGGTTTGCTGACAACCGCTCAAAATGAAACTGCTTCGCCGAGAGCAGGCTGCGGGCATCCTGAATTTCCTGCATGAGTCTTGCTCGTATTTCGTTACATGGACACAGCCGGTCGGCCGAGTGGTTACGTTAATCAAATTATGCCTGCATGTTAGATAGAACTGCCGGCACAGATAGTCTGTGCTCCTCCAGCCTTCGTACTTGCCGCGCAAAATCGTTGGGGGTCGGTAGTGCTAGCAAGGCGTGGGAAGCTCTGCCACCCATGAGCGAGAGGTGCATTTTTCAGAGCTGTGCAGACAATTCAATTTAGAGATGTCGCAGAGGAGAGATCGAGCTGCAGTCGCCACCATCGCTGGACGGCTCTACGTGCCTCGGGGGGTCATCAAGCTTCATGCCTGCACATGTCGGTTCTATGGCTTGTCGGATCCCGCTAGGTCTGTGGAGGTTTCGATGGTGATGCCGACCTCAGGACAGGTGCAGTTCAAGTGTGAAGCAGATTGAATTGCAAAATTCAGACCGCTTTCGTCAGAGGACTGCGGAGTGCTTTGACCCCAGCTCTGGTCACTGGCTGACTCTGCCACCAATGCAAGAGAGGTCAGACGCAGTGAGAGGCCGTGAAAGGCCCATCAGGTTTCTTTGCACCTGTCAGGCGCTCCAGTGCCGTTGCGGTGGCGGCCCTCACCTAGAGAAAAGCAAGCACTGCATCTAACTACGCCATCTGCCTTACGCTTGTGCTGGGCAGCTGACTTGTGAATGTGCCATCGATTCGTCGGCTGCCGGCCGTGCAGCATGGTTCAGACAGAAGTAAATGGGCAGCGGCGTCACATGCCTGTGCATCGGGCGGGTTCTTATCCTCCACGACATTGACATGTATCCATTTGTATCCTTCGAAGAGAACATGAAGATTTGCGGCTCTACGGCCCAGGGACATAGTGACATAAGGTCGTCCAGCATGCAGTGGCAGCAGTCTACAGTGATGTCGAGAGCTTGCCACATACTCGTACTCGTGATGCCCGTGCAGCAGAAGGTTTCTTGAATTACGCATGCAAAGAACACATCGACAAATTTGTCCTCCTCGAAGTGTCGGACAGCCGAGGCCAGGGCTCCTGAAAGAGTCCGTGCCGCAAGTAGTTCCCTCACTGAACGCGCTCCGTTGGTGCTACGTTCAATGCTCTACCTTATTCTTCAGAACTTTCTTGGGCATGTCTCGCGCATGGCAGCATGTTTGTGTGCACGCAGGCTTCCGGTCGTCTACTGACTTCGTGGTCGGCATGTCCTCTCCTGACGAGCCCCGCTGGCAGAGATTGATACAGTGATAGTGATAGGTTCTGATAGATTCATATTATCGCTCTAGGGTGCAGCCGTCTGTTGAGATGGTGGCCAGTGGCCGTCGAAGTTGCCAGGTCCAGCGGGCTCCTCGAGCAGGCGTGGTTGAGAAAGCCTGGCCAGACGTGGCCAGACAGTACATGCACTGTTCCAGGCCATGGTGGTGGCCTTTCCACAACAAGATCCAAAGGCCGATGGATTCATCACGGGATTGCGATTAAAAGCAACAGTTCATATCGCCACTTTACTTTTTGATGCTCTGATGTGACAGCCTACCCGCCTACCCATGATGGCAAGTAGGATTGACTGGGAGCCGCAGTTTGCTCTTTTCGTTGTAGACGAAGCACCGATTGCTTGGGGTATCTTCGAACTTCCAACGAACGTGTTGAGAACCTGGAATGCTGTTCAAGTTGGTGTTACACCAGTGTACTCTTGTAGCCTTGATGCCTCGTAGGTGTGCCAAGTGAGCGGGACACTCGGACATCTTCGTCGTTTCATGCTGGATTTGAGCTGCAAGGAGGGCAACGAGCGGCTGACCGTGTGTGCTCCAAGACTTGCAAGGCTTCCGTGTCGGAGTGCCCATGCTGTTTTTTCAAACGGCCAGCCTCTCTGCTTCAAGGGTTGCCCCAACACGGCTTGAGAGCCTGCGGGCAGAGGAAGAGAAGAATCGCATTGCAGTTTCTGAGGCATCTCTGGAGACTGGCCAGATGCGTTTGGGCTGGTTGCTCAGACCATGGATCAGAAGTTGTGTTTGTGAGAAGGAGTGTGGTCGGCGTTGTTGTAAGCCCACCTGAAGCAGGCGAGAGGAAGAGTTTAGATTTGAGGAAAGCAGGCTCGCAAGCTCGCAGGACTTGTCTACGACCTACCCTCATCTGGAGCCCTTGCGCCATCCACTACCCATCGCGCAGGTTCCGCGGTATCTGATGAGGAAAAGGTCGGCCGCTCGGATTCGGTTCAACCACAGGTCGGCCCCAATGGGCGCAGCTCGAGATTGCAAGTGGTTCTCAGGGCGACAGCGACTAGAAAGCTAGGATACGGTTGTGGTTTGAGCTCGGATATTGTGCGTATTGTGCAGGTGTGTGTGTGGGGTGCTTGCATCATGTCGCGGGCTGCATCGCGATCTGGAATCGGTCCCTAGTACGGTAAAGGCATTATCAGGAGCGCTTTTTTCTTCAGCCTGGTTCTCAACCAAGTGCATTCTGGCTCCAGGGGCTGTACACTTGTGCCGGCCTTGCACTAAAGTCCCTCACACTCGGGGCTAAGTAAGAGGCTACCGGATCAATGGAACAACAACTGAATCAAGCGCCTGGTGAAGCGTAGCGAAAACAGACAATGTCTTGCAACTTATGATTTGTGAGATTATTTCATTGCTGGGTTCTCGGAGGTGTCCATTCTCTCAAAAGCTAGAGCCGGACAGCCACCTCATCTCATCGTCGGTTGCTCAGCATTGCTGGGCATCGTCGAGCTGACGGCTGGTCTCCAGCCAAACATCGACTATCATCTGGCTTGGCATTTTCGACGTAGCTTCTGTTTGACTCCTTCGTGTCTCCTAAATCCCAACAGGCATCACAAACTCGCAGAGGTGGACTTGCACATAGATGATGCCACGGAGATCGGTATGTGGATGAAGGCTTCCGCATCCCTGCTTTCGTACCCTTCTTCCACTCCAAAGCAAGCTCCATTCTGTACGCTTTGGGTTGCATTGCTGCTTCTCCGCATCGCATCTTGAACTTGGAGGCTCTACAAAGTGTGCTCAAAGGCACGGAGGTGGCCACGCAACTCAACGCATAGCTCCCTGCTGCGTGCCAGAAGCGGTTTTGAAGTTTTGGTATGTTTTGATGGGTTTCAGTCACGCGCAGGCGACTCCAGACGAGAACCAAGGAGGCCGACGAACGTGCTTTTCGTGCGTTCAGAATTGCGGGGCACTGCACTTTTGCACTGGCCTGTCGTTGAAAGCTGTCGCAGTCGTGCTTATCTGGATTTCCCGGCACATTGGTATTTGATATGACAGGGACCCCACCCAGAGCATGATTTGCGAGTGTTTGAGAATGACAGGCGATCGCTTGAGTCCTGCGGGGTCGCAGAAGCCGGAGATCCAAGCTTGAACGGTCCAAAGTTTGCCGTTGGACATCTGTTTGCAAGCCCAAAGGCCCAAGTCGCATGTCAAGACGTGACCAGCAAGGCATCCCACCTCGGCATTGCCCTCGGCAAGGTCTCAGGTGGACTGTGAGTCTCAAGCAATGCTCGCTTAAGTTGCCTTGCATGCTCTGCCCAGCCCAGAAGAGCACGTCGTTTCCCTAAACCCTTGGCAGGCATCTTCCGAGGTGGAGGCTGGGCTCGTAAGTCCGCGAGTAGCAAGTGCCTGTACTGGAGCCTTCTTACGGCTGGTACTTGCGGCGGACTTGCGGCCAAGCTAAGCAGATGTTTGATCAGTCTGTCAGTCGCGACTATCAAGTGGGTTCCTGAAGCAACACCACCACGGGACAAAATCCTCAAGGGGAGCCAGGTCTCTGGCTTGGGGCATGGCCCTTCTCGGAGAAAACGCGACGATTCGTCAGCTTTGCGCAGGAAGAATGTGTTTTGCTACGAGCGAAAAGCCCGGGAGCTTAGAAGGGAAGCCCTTCCGTACTTTGGAGTGGAAGAATACGACGAACGTTGGGCTGAGGCCAGAAACTGCAGCAGCGAATCGCCGGCCTTGAGGCGAGGGACAGTCTCTGCATTCTCCGCATACAGCGGCTCAGCGGCTCTTGAATTCAGGCGATCAGTGGGCGCCGCGAGAAGCAAATGAAGAAGCTCCTCAAGCAAAGCTCCCAGTTAACAGATTGAACGTTTGTTGCTTCGCTCTTCGACAAGAGCCATTTGATCCTTGCAATGATACAGTTGCATGCGGAAACTATCTGAAGGCGCTTGGACGGCGCCATGCAGATGTTGGATGCCTTGCAGGAACCCAAATCCGTACCAATGCTATAAGCCATGTCGTCTAGGCAGGTCCACATCTTGGCCTACGTTTCGACAGGTTCTGTCACAGTGCCAGAAACAGCTGCAGCATCACCGCAGGACATGTGCGGCCAACAACGGAAGGTGCTTGCCCTGCAAACTACTGTGGGCTAGGAAAGGCAAGGGCTAGGCTAGGATGGCTTCGGTTCTGCTTGAACAATATCGCAAATCAGCCAGATGTTCACAGCATTGGCCAGTTGATCTGCAGTCGTTTGGAAGTTTGGGAATCTGACTTGATCATTGCAAGATGAACATGAAAGTTCATTCATGCATGTGAATCTGTGTGTGACAGCAATGACAAAGCACTATTCGCAAAACCAATCCATGTTGCTGTGCTTCAAGAGTCTCGCTTGTCGATTCAGCTGGTGCCCTGAAGGTTGTCTTTAGAAGCAAATTCCCCTGTGTGATGTTGATAAAGAAAACTAGTAGCCTCCTTCCCCGCACGGCTTTTGCCGCGCTCTGCCAAATCAAGAGCCTGTCATCCATGTATCGCCTTGTTGAAGGAAGTGGGAGCCTTTGTAGGCCTGCGGCACCCCTGCTCTGATGGGTTGCGATCTCTCAACTGTTGAAGCCCTGATTTTGGGGGGCGATGGAGCAACCCAGATCTTTAAGCGCCTAGCCCCTTTGCACCGGAGATCCGAGAGTCTTTTGGCCTGAAGGATCGCCAGTTACGTGAGAACTTCAAGCGACAAATCTGTTTCTTGCCGAAGATGGTGGAGTTGACGATGAACGAAAGAGAAGTGGTCGCGCGAGACAGAGCTGGTTGCATTCTCAATTTCGTTTCAAGCATAGGCATTGGGTTGGGTCATTGAAGTAGGGCTAAGAGGCGAGATTGTTGATGTCACCTGCGGTTGTTACCCGAAAGCGTGGCGACGAGCTTTTGCCGTCGACATGGTTTGGATGACATGATGTGGTGTTACGTGAGGTTGTGTCTCAGGTCGTCGTGAGGTTGCGTGAGCGCGTCAAAGGCTTTTCGTTGGCTATCGGGTGTTCGTCAGGATGCTCTTATCTTGACAGGGCTAGCGGGAACCGCCTCGCATCGCTAAATGGTGCTGCACGTGTTGTGCCTTGACGATTCGCCGGCGTGTCCGCATCGTCTTGCAAGCGCAATCTCCGATGTAAACTATGCTGTATTGATCTCTCGAATCCTGACGTTGGTCTCGAAATGACAACCCTCGCTCGGGTGGACGTGGGGTGTCCGCATCGTCTGGTAAGCGATGGTAAGCGTGATCTCCGTTGTAAGTAAGTTCCATCTCAGTGATATTCAGTGATGGGCACTGAGGGAAGTTGCGGTGTGACGATTCGCGCTTGCTCGTGTCGCTGAATCGCACCAGTACATGGAGCATCGCTGCCGCGCTCCTGAATCCCGGCAGTACACCATAAGGGGAGCGAGTTGGTGGCGCCAAATCGCGCAGAGCTCGCGGTGCCGGGACGGCTCGTGTTCAGAATCCACAAGCCTCTCGGTGAACGATGCATTTTTGCATCTTTCAGAGCGGTCGCTCAAGTGCAAATGATTGTAAATTGCAATACGGGGACCTCATGTTGGCTTCAATCATGTGACGCTGTGGTTCCGTGTCGCTTTTAATCACATCGGCGATGATTCCCATCTGGCCCCGCCCGTACTTGTTCTTGAGAGACGCATTCTGGTCGTGCTTCTGAATCCGCCAGTGCATTGCCGTGCTTTTGAATCGTGCCGGTAAGTGGGGGTTGGTCGGATAGAGCAGGTTGCACACGGATGTATAGAAGGGCTCTATATAGAAGCGTTTTTCCAACCATTTACAGAAGGGTTTATGGAAGGGTGGATGGATGAATGAGTGGATGCAAGGATGGATGGATGGATGGATGGATGGATGGATGAATGGATAAATGGATGGTTGATCGGATATGCGTGTTACCCCTCTGCTCTCTCGGAACGTACATTCTGTAGCTCAGCCGCCTTGCACGCCAACTGATTCGGTGTTCTGGAGGGGCGATTCGAGGGCTGTTGGCTTCACAAGTTTCGCTTCAGCCCTCATTGCACGCCCCTCTCTCCTCGGGACCTGCGCAACATAGGCCGACACTGGAGTCATTAGGCCTTGGCAGCTGGATGTTGGACTGCATTTCCTTGGCGCCAAAGTCTTTCAGCGCACTCAATGTGTTGTGGTGTGCTGTGGCAGCCAACTGAATCGTATCGAGAATCTCTCGCGCCGTCGGGGTCTTACCGGAGCGGATCGAAGTTTCTGAACTTGCGGCATGTGAATCTTCAAATCCCTGCTCTGCTGAATTGGTGGTTCTGATTATCTGGCTTTGTTGGGGTTGTCATGGCCAGGGCATGTTGCACAGGTGATTTCGGCGCAACAGATCGCCATTTTGGCGCTCAAAGATGAAGGCGCGATTGATGAGGCCAGGCCGCAGCCACAGACACCGTTCCCACAAACCATTTTACAATCTGATTGCAAGTGAGGGCTTTTGGCGTTACCATGACCATGGCACACCATGACGAGCATGGTTCGTGTTGCCTTGTGTCGCAACTACTAGGAACAGGATCAGTTCTTATCATTAATTTTCCGATTGGTGTGGCAGTCATGATGAACTCCTAAGTCTCCTAAGCGTGAGCAGAACTTCAGCGACGGTGCCACTAGTCGTAGCAAGATCAGTTCTGTAGCAGTCGTCGTCGTCGTCGAGGCACTGGTGGCAATCCTAGAGATCGTGGGGGTGGTGGTAGTGGTCGTGGCAGTGACAGGAGTCGTCGTAGTAGTAGTAGTAGTAGTAGTAGTAGTAGTAGTAGTAGTAGTAGTAGTAGTAGTAGCAGAAGTGGTCGCCGCAGTAGGAGTAGGAGTAGGAGTAGGAGTAGGAGTAGGAGTAGGAGTAGGAGTAGGAGTAGGAGTAGGAGTAGGAGTAGGAGTAGGAGTAGGAGTAGTAGTAGTAGTAGTAGTAGTAGTAGTAGTAGTGGTAGTGGTAGTGGTAGTGGTAGTGGTAGTGGTAGTGGTAGTGGTAGTGGTAGTAGTAGTAGTAGTAGCAGCAGTAGTAGTCGTCGTCGTGGTCGTGGTTGCTGTTGGTCTAGTTGTTGTTGGTGGTGGTGGGTGCGGTATATGTTTTGTGTTTGTATTGCAGTCGGTGTTGGCTGTTGCTGTTGCTCTTGCTGTTGTTGCTTGTCGTACTTGTAGTGCCTTGCAGTGCTTTTGCTTGTAGTACTTGTAGTGCTTGTCGTACTTACTAGTACTACGTACTACCGCTACATACTACGGACTACTACTACTGCTACTACTACTACTACTACTGCTACTACTACTACTACTAATACTACCGCTACTACTACTACTACTGCTACTACTACTACTACTACTACTACTACTACTACTACCGCTACTACTACTACTACTACTACTACTACTACTACTACTACCAAATACTACTACTACTACTACTACTACTACTACTACTACTACTACTACTACTACTACTAGTACTACTACTACTACTATTTTTCAATTGAACGCTGCGCGAGCGTGCTCTGCGCTTTGCGGGCGCCTTTGGTCCCGTGCACTCGTGAAACTGGTTATCTGCTAGCATTCATCGCTCTTATTCCTCTCAAACCGCTCAGTTGAGTAAGACTGTACATCTATGGCTTCCTCCTCCGCCACCTTGTTGTGAACAGACGCGTCCGTCTGTGCACCTGTCCCAGCAATTAGGTCGTACTTCGGGCGAAGCCGGCGCCTAGAGTATCCGTCTTGTGGCGTCCCACACGGATTACTCATGCTGGAGACAGAAGGCCGTAAGGGTCACATGTGCGTAAACCTACATACGACTCGGAGTGCTTGTCGTGACTACCCCCCAATAAGCGACGCTCATGCTCTTGGCTTTCCTCGGACTGCTTCCGTTATTCTGGGTAGGTTTCCTGCAGAGCTGAGTGAGTCAAACAGCCGACAGCTGACTGACCATATCGGCTCAGGCGAAGTGCAGTGTCCTGCATTTTGCCGTGGCTAGCGCGCTGCTCTACAGCTCCCGAAGAGATTTGCAAAAGCGTCGGAAGAGCACCGAATTCCCAGAGGCTGTGCCATACGGGATTTGAGGAGTTTGTGACATTTACTAATTGCTCCCGTACTAAAATGGGTGCTTAGCCGAAGCGCCCATATTGGGGCAAGAGCAATTCAGCACTAAGCTGGACTAAAAAGTGGCGCACTAGGGAGCGGCATTCTCGCCGACGCTAAAAGTGATTGCAAGGCGTGCTGGGCCCTAGACTGATCTTGAGTGAACCTAGCACTAGGAGCCATGTCCTTTGGGGAGAGCGCGGCAGCCTTCAAAGCGCGAGCCAAAGACACTGGGGTGTCGGATGAGAGCATCGCGAAGCTTGAGGCGGAAGGGTTGACAACGATGGCAACTTTTGCCTTCTGTTGTCATTTCAACCCGGCTGCGACAGATGCTTGTGCTCCGGGCTCGTGGCAGTAGCAGGCGAGGCAGTCATGACGGCCAAAGGGAGCTGGGGGGAAGCTGACTAAATAAAAAGAGCTGATTGAGAGTAAGGAAATTACAGAGTGTGCATGTCCGCGTGCGCTCATGACACACTTGGCCTTGACGTGAGGCGGCCTGCGTCAACATGAAATTGACGACGGGCTTCTCACGCACGGGCGCCCTGCTTAGCCTGAGGGCCGAGGTTGGGCCGGCATGCATCGCCTTAAGCGATGATGCTAACGAGTTCGTTGCAAGAAAAGCATGTAGACGTTTCGGGAAAGTGATTGAACCAAGGCCGCTGAGGCCCTCTCCGGAAGCTTGTAGTCGTCGCAAATCCACACCTGAGATCTCGCATCCGCGGGGTCCTCTGGCCAGAAGGCTCGGTAGTGCCCGGACGCTAGGGAGTCCCCAAAGTGGGCAACTCCTGCCAGGACTTGGTAGGATCGTTGGGCAGTGTGCTCGCTGGATGTCCACACGGACACCATGGCACGGCCGGTCCAGGCGCACGGCTGGGTATTCTTGACACCGTCTTGCCATCTGCAAATCACAACAGCTAGGACTTCTGGGGCCCATACCAGCGCTCGACTAAAAGTTTGCGATTCCCAGAATCTTAGGCAGGCTTGGAGAGACAGAGGTCCCGTCGGAAGGGGAAGGAGAAGAGGACTGACTCCCACATCCGACTCCTCAACGATTCCCCCAGTACGACCCTGCCACTGAGTGTGCTGAAGGGATCCCATGGGCTTTTGCTGCAGATGGTGAAGAAATTCTGAGACATCGTGTTGCCTGCCATCTAGTCGCCAACCGGCAATGGCATGGCGAAATTCAAACAGGCCGAACAAGTTCAGAAGTCTAGGGGCACTCTCATCCCCGAGATGGGTTAAGACAGATTGAAAAGCACCCAGATCATACCCAAAGCTCGATACTTGATGCAAGGCCTGGAAGAGAGCGTTAGCGTAGCAGGAGTTTGCCGTGTTAGACAGTACGCGTTTGTGTAAGCCTGTAGGCTGTGGCTCTGTGTTCCTGGGGGCCTGCGCCACAGACTCCTGGTTCGAGTCTGTTGTAGGATGACGAGCTGTGCTCGACGAGTTGGAGGCTGTGCCATTCGACCTAGGTCTAAAAAAGCTGGCCAACGACTTTGTCTGAGGCTTGGGAGGCGGGGCGACGGGATCGACGTCCGCGTCAGGCTGCCCTCGCAGCCACTGCGTGCTTACCTGATAGAGCACCGGACACTGCTCCGGATGCAGTCTGCGGTCATAGACCTTGTAGCCACAGAAGGGACATGAGTGGCCCTTGGCTAACTGGGGCGAGTAGCCCTGACAGATATTAACAGCCCGCCTGTGTAGGCGTGACCAGTCCTTAGGATGCGCCTGACGAAAGTGCGACTTGACTTTGGTGTGGTCAAAAGTCCAGAAGTCACACGTTAAGCACCGATGATTAAGGACCTTGGAATCCGCAGTCCTCGAGAGCTCCGCGATGCGGTGTTGTGGGAGCAGAGCAATGTCCTGTCTCAGCTGGAAGAGAGTCCTAATATCGGGATGGTTGGACTGTTTGTCTGCTTCTTTTAGTGAACGGAGCTTCTGAGGTTCCGGACATGCCCCCGAAAGCAAGTGGTCACGTAGGCCTTTCCATTGATGGAATTTACGCTTACATGCCGCACATTGCGGCATCCCATCCACAGCGTGGAGCTTTCTATCGAAGCTTGAAGGCACAAAGCGGTCAATGCTCGCCGGATGAACCCTCGACTTATGCAAATGTAGTCCATTTGACGTCTGAAATGAAGCCGCGCAGAGCGTGCACTCGTATGAGGTTACCGGATGTTCCTCGGGCTCAGGGAGTTGTGACAGGACCAACAGCTTATCTCGGATAACCTGCAGAACCGAGGGGTCTGTCGTGATGTCCGGGCTTTGCACTGCTCGTCGCTCCAGTTTGCGAAGCCGCTTCCTTAGCTTGGACTGCAGTGCGTGGACAGGGTCCTGGATGTTGTAGAGCTGGAAAAGATCCTTAGTGGTGATCCGAGTGGTGTGAGCCGGCAGGTTCAGCACCGATCGTACCTTGTAGGCGTGCCAGCTGCGAAGCTGTTTGGCCGACTCTTCGCTTAAACCGACGTCAGATAGGCCAGTCGTCAAGGTGCCCAGGACAGTACTCTGCCACACCTTAAGGCGCGACATGGTACTTGCATACCTGCGGTTGTAGACGAATTGGCGAACTTGATGCAACTTTTGCTTCGCCTCCCCCATCCGAAAATGCAGGGTCTGCAACTCGAAGTGGTTGTAGGAGATCATAACTCCTAAGTACTTGCTTGAGGAGACCCACTGGAAGGCAGGGAACGACTTGTTGGGCCCGATGCGCCACCCTCTGACTGGCTCTCCTTTGGGGTTGGTAATCCAGCAGCTGTGTTTGTTCATCACATTTTGTGCTTCTCTACCTGCCAGCTTTACCAAAATGACGCACTTGCCGATGTTGACTCTGAGTCGATGTTTGCGGACCTCCTCCAACAGGGCAGCTATAAGTGCATGGATGGCCTTGAGGTCCTTCTCAGAACGAATAGTCCTATGAAGCGTCAGGTCATCGGCGTAGCCCGTTAAAAACTTCAGAACCTGTTCAGCACCGAACAGATCAACCAGAGACCGGAAGAGGTCACCTGTGAGGAACGAGAATAGGGTGGGAGCGAGCTTACATCCTTGTTTAATGCCTGCTGTGGTTTCGATAGAAGTGGAATCGCCTTGGGCATGTAAGACGTATCTGGATCCGTCATGGAGAGCTTGAACGAGGTGGACTGTGTCCTGATCGGCCCCCTCGCGCTGAAGGAGACCGATAATCTCTTGGCGAGAGACTGTGTCAAACGCCTGGCTTAGGTCTAAAGCAAAGGTCAGACCGCCTACTAGAGATGGCACCTGTGTGCCTTGCTGTATAGCATGTCTCGTAGGATGAGCCTGCTCCAACAAAGACCG